CTCAGGACTTCGGGGAAAAAAATTGCCGGGTTACGTAACGATAATTTAGATTGGTAAATTGCTGATATGAGTTGCATTTTGAATCGACTGTGAAAGTTATTTATGAAGTGTGGTTATTGAGTAGATAGTGAGTTAGGGCGGCTGGGAAGTGAGCATGCAACCAGGGTGAGGTAGCACACGAGAGACTGTATGGGGTGGGGGGGGGGGAGGAGTGTGGGGGTGAGGGGTGGGGGGAGAAAGTTAGTAGGAGGAACAATACCTAGTGAAGGTCGTCCTGATGACCTGTAGTGACGTTAGTCCTCTACAGTGTGGCTTGTGGCAGTGGAATTGTTCACGCATACACATGAACACCCACATTACATGTACACGGGCACACACATATACACACGCGCACACTCACACACAACAGCAGTCCGGGTGTTGGTCCGGACGGAATCTCACCATGGGTACTGAAAGAGTGTGCAGGAGCACTTTGCTTGCCACTCTTCATGGTATATAGTAAGTCACTGGAGACGGGAGATCTACCAAAAATAGGGAAGACGGCTAATGTAGTCCCAATATACAATAAAGGGTGACAGACAAGGGACACTGAGCTACTGGCCAGTGTCCCTAACTTGTATACCATGCAAGGTAATGGATAAGATTGTAAGAAAAACCTAGCAGCACATCTGTAGAGAAGGGACTTCGTGACACACCACAACCATGGGTTCAGGGATTGCAAATCTTGCCTCACAGGTTTAATAGAATTTTACCACCAGGGGACAAAGATTAAGCAAGAAATAGAAGGTTGGGCAGACTACATTTTCTTGGACTGTCAGAAAGCCTTAGGCACAGTACCCAAAAAGAGGCTGCTGCATAAGCTGGAGAAACAGGCAAGAGTAACTGGTAGGGCGCTCCAGTGGATAAGGGAGTACCTAAGTAATAGGAAGCAGAGAGTTACAGTGAGGGGTGAGACTTCAGAATGGCGTGAAGTCACTAGTGGAATCACGCAGGGTCTTGTATTCGGACCTATCCTGTTTCTGATATACGTAAATGATCTCCCAGAGGATATAGACTCATTCCTCTCAATGTTTGCTGACGATTCCAAAATTATGAGAAGGATTAAGACAGATTGCAACAGCATGAGGCTTCAAGGTGACCCGGACAAACTGAAGGAATGGTCCAACAAATGGCTGTTAGAGTTTAACCCTAGTAATGAAAATGTGTGTAGGTAGCAGGAGGCCATTTGGAAGACGAAATTTTTCACGAATCGGAGAGTGAGAAAAACCTGGGTGTTTATATCACGCCAGACATGCCCCTGAAACCCACACCAAGAGAATATCATCAGCGGCATATGCCAGGTCGGCCAACATATGAACGGCCATTATAAACTTGTGTAAGGAATCATTAAGAACCTTGTATGCCACATATATCAGACCAATCTTGGAGTATGCAGCTCCAACACGGAGTCCGCATTACGTCAAGCTCAAGACTAAATTGGAGAAGGTTTAAAGGAATGCCACCAGACAAGTACGTTCTGAGAGGTGTGATCTATGATCAGAGACTACAGAAACTAACCTCGCGTCGCTGGAAGACAGAAGAGTTAGGGGAGACATGATCACCACATACAAGATTCTCAGAGGAATTGATAGGGTAGATAAAGACAATTTATTTAACGCAGGGGATATACCCACAAGGGGACACCAGTGGAAACTGAGTACCCAGATGAGCCACAGAGATATTAGAAAGAACGTTTTTAGTGTCAGAGTAGTTAACAGATGGAATGCATTAGGAAGTGATGTGGTGGAGGCTGACTCCATACACATTTTCAAATGTAGATATGATAGAGTACAGTAGGCTCAGGAATATGTACACCGGCTGATTGACAGTTGAGAGTCGGGACCAAAGAGCCAGAGCTCAACCATAGCAAGCACAACTAGGTGAGTACACACACACACACACACACACACACACACACACACACACACACACACACACACACACACACACACACACACACACACACACACACACACACACACACACATTAAACAGAATTAAACAGAAGAGGACTGTTTGAGGCTTCAAGAAGACCTAGACAAGCTGAAGGAATGGTCGAACAAATGGTTGTTAGAGTTTAACCCAACCAAATGTAATGTAATGAAGATAGGTGTAGGGAGCAGGAGGCCAGATACAAGGTATCATCTGGGAGAGGAAATTCTTCAGGAGTCAGAGAAGGAAAAAGACTTGGGGGTTGATATCACGCCAGACCTGTCTCCTGCAGCACATATCAAGCGGATAACATCAGCGGCATATGCCAGGCTGGCCAACATACGAACGGCATTCAGAAACTTGTGTAAAGAATCATTCAGAACTTTGTATACCACATATGTCAGGCCAATCCTGGAGTATGCAGCCCCAGCATGGAGTCCATATCTAGTCAAGGATAAGACTAAACTGGAAAAGGTTCAAAGGTTTGCCACCAGACTAGTACCCGAGCTGAGAGGTATGAGTTACGAGGAGAGACTACGGGAATTAAACCTCACCTCGCTGGAAGACAGAAGAGTTAGGGGGGACATGATCACCACATTCAAGATTCTGAAGGGGATTGATAGGGTAGATAAAGACAGTCTATTTAACACAAGGGGAACACGCACAAGGGGACACAGGTGGAAACTGAGTGCCCAAATGAGCCACAGAGATATTAGAAAGAACTTTTTTAGTGTCAGAGTGGTTGACAAATGGAATGCATTAGGGGGTGATGTGGTGGAGGCTCACTCCATACACAGTTTCAAGTGTAGATATGACAGAGCACGATAGGCTCAGGAATCTGTACACCTGTTGATTGACGGTTGAGAGGCGGGACCAAAGAGCCAGAGCTCAACCCCCGCAAACACAACTAGGTGAGTACAACTAGGTGAGTACACACACACACACACACACACACACACACACACACACACACACAAAAGAAGAAGGGAAAGGGGGGACATGATAGGAACGTATAAGATACTCAGAGGGATTGACAGAGTGGACATAGACGAAATGTTCACACGGAATAGTAACAGAACGAGGGGACATGGATGGAAGCTTGAAACTCAGATGAGTCACAGAGATGTTAGGAAGTTTTCTTTTAGCGTGAGATTAGTGGAAAAATGGAATGCACTTGGGGAACAGGTTGTGGAAGCAAATACTATTCATACTTTTAAAACTAGGTATGATAGGGAAATGGGACAGGAGTCATTGCTGTAAACAACCGATAGCTGGAAAGGCGGGATCCAAGAGTCAATGCTCGATCCTGCAAGCACAAATAGGTGAGTACAAATAGGTGAGTACACACACACACATTAATAGGTGAAACATTACTGTACCATAGAAAATTCTAATGGAATTAGCAACACAGACAAACTAGCAATATACAAAGCGACAAACAAGAGAACGAAGCGACATAACAATGAAACAGACACAGACGAGTGACTTTCTAGTCATATTAGAGTGTCTCAAGCAGGATGTTCACATTAATAAAGTTATCTGTAGATCATTATTGTCATCATCATCGTGTAAATTACACGTTGTCCTCTGCAGGCAAACAAATGACAATTTGTGACGCATGCCTGGCTCCCCTCGCAGCAACTTACCTTTCATATTCCCTGGAGGTTCATGCAGCTCCATTCACCTGGGCTCTAGGAGCCCCTCGTGTGTGAGGCCGCAGCTCTATCGACCGAGCTATTGAGTCCTTATCTTAGTAAGGAAAGTTTCCAGAAGCAGCCTCCTGCTTCCAAACTGGAATTCTTCTGTGAGCTTCAACAGTAGCTAAGGAAAGTATCTATATAAATATATTGGTATATTTTGGTAGCAGTCTTTTTTGTAAACATATGTTGTTGAAAGTGACGGAAAAGGTAAGATTAATGATTCTAACACGGATCTTCTCAATATTTCTTATGTTTTACTTCACTGTCGAGGGATGTTGAAAAATCAACTCTCCAAAGTTCCTTTTCGCACTATATTTATGGTCTGATGCCTAAGGAAGCATTTTACAAGACACTCCTTACATTTTCAAAGACAAATTTTCCATACTCTGCTAATTCTTATATTTGCTTCGGGTGACGGACACAGGACATTATTGAGATGAACAAGTGGATCAATGGTACAATGGGTATACTGGCCTATTATACCCATTGTGCCAATGTCCCCTCGTCCTCCCCACCCTTCCCCACTCCCCCATCACTTTGTCCTCTCCACCACTCCCCATTCCCCCGTCCCTCGTCCTCCCCATCATCCCCTTCTCCCATTCCCCTCGTCTTCCTCACAATTCCTCACTCCCCCCCCCCGTTCCCTCGTCCCTCACACCATTCCCGAACTCCCCTGTCCCCTCGTCCTCCTCATCTTCCCCCCCCCTCCCCCGTCCTCTCATCCTCCCCACAATACCCTCTTCCCTCGTCCGCCCCACCATTCCCCACTCCCCCGTCCAATGAATTTTCAAATGATTTGATATTCCCATCATATATATATATAATATATATATATATATATATATATATATATATATATATATATATATATATATATATATGTATATCAACCTATGACGGTTTACAGCTACATTCCAGCAACTCCTGCAACAACACTTATGCCAAGCGTATCGGCCCCAGCCCTTCCCTTGGACCATCGGTGGCGTGGAGAGGGTGGATCTGTTGCACGGGCAACAGCCGGCTCTCCACAACGATGGGACAAGAGGAGGGGAGATGAAGTTGTAAAACGCAATCTTCATTCACTGGAGTCAGATGTAAACACAATCATAATTCACTAGAGTCAGTTGTAAAACACAGTATTTATTCACAGGAGTCAAGTGTAAACTATAATTATTCACTGGAATCAGGGGTAAAACAGATTGTTTATCACTGGAGTGTGTAAATACAATCTGTATTCAGTGGAGATATGAACAAATTGTGTCCTTATTCACTGGAGTCAGATGTAAAAAGCAATTCAAATTCGTGTATTTTATTACAAATATTAACAGTGATGCACATCACTGTCGTAGTAGTAATCCGGGACTAAAGATAGGATGACCAAGCCACACACTCGAAGATGAAGAAACGACGACGTTTCGGTTCACCGTCCTGGAGTACGGATCGTGCTCCAGAACGGATCGGTTTAGGACGGATCGAAACGTAGTCGTTTCTACAGGTGTGTTTTTTGGTCGTCATTCCGTGACTATAACGAGAGCACCGGTGTACTGGCAATGTTCTGAGCGTTGATCAGTCATGGAAAATCCAGCAGTCTCCTTCAGCATCACTGATGGAGGCGTTAGCGGTGACGTTCCTCATGGAATCGAGTTTGTTAGTTGACGTGTGGACGAAGGAGGAAGGGGGGGAAGGGAGAGCATGACAAACTGTGAAATGAGGGTTGAGGAAAGGGAGATGTTGAGCCGTTGGGTGAGAGGGGTGTGGGTTGAAGGATGCGCGGGAGGTGGCCAGCAGCGGGAGTTTGGCGTGGTTATCGACGTCGTTAACAGCGGAGGGATCTCCAAATGAGTTTACTTTCTATTCACGATGAATCCATTATCGTCATAGACGATGCCTCGGGCGCGCTGCTCTTCGGCGAAGCGGATCTGCTCGAGGGCGTGGGCGGGTAGCGGGTGGGGCGTGGGGATCAGGTCAGACTGTGGCTGGTAGCCGTTCTCGTCGGCGATGTAGCGGACCTCAGCGATGGTGCCGTCGGGAAGAGTGAATCTAAAGTGGGAACCAGAAAAATTTACGATAATGGTCGAATCGAAATGCAAATATAGATTGGAAATTTATAACAACAGCTGAAGAAATTAAATTAACGAAACTATATGGGCAGGAAGACCTCACCTGAACACGCCCTGGATGTTGCTCTGACCCTTTGAGCCAGGGGTGCCGGAGGCTTCCACGGAGATGCCGTTCTCGGCCTCGAAGGCGTAGTTGAAGTTACCGTCGCCGGAGTCCTGACGGTCGTCGCGGAGGATGGCCACAGGTGGGGTGTCCTGGAGCTGGGGGGCGGCGGCGGCCATGGCGGCCAGGCAGGCAAGAATTACCTGAAGGTGCAAAAGAAGAATAAATATTCGTGAGCAACTAGTGTGGTGTGAGATGGCTGCTCGACTTCAACCCCAAGTAAATGCAGGATTATGAGAGGAGCACGGAGACAAACAAGGACAGAATATTATGACGTGGAAGCTGGAGTAAACAATATGGCTGTCTTAGATAGCACACATTAGCAGAATCACATCCAAAACATATGCCAATTTGAACAGCATTTATTAAGGGATTTATTATATATTAAGGGATTTAGCATTTATTAAGCACTTCACAAAGAGGGATTAAGGCCATTGCACGCTGTCCACACAAGACCATAGGATGAGTAAAGGTTACAAGGAACACCCATAAACACGGCACCAGTTTTTCACGAGTGTTCCTCATTGATTCATAAAACTGAATGACTTGGAATGTGAGGAAAGTCTCAAAAAGCTAAATGTTATTTCACTAAAGAATCTGGATGTCTTGATGGAAATTAAAAAAGAATTATATACGATCTTGATGGGAACTATAAAGATGAGCTGTTTAACGTAAACAAAAAACTTTAGTTGTAAAAGTCAAGAAGATTCAGATGAATCTTTGGGCAGCTAGAAATCCTTTATTTATCCGTAAAAGTAGTGAGCAAACAGAATGATATTGAGGAGAAGGAAATCAAGGCTTACTGCCTCAAGGTCACACACACACACACATAAAAGAATCTTGTACACCACATACGTAAGACCAATCCTGGAGTATGCGGCCCCAGCATGGAGCCCGTACCTTGTCTAGCACAAGACGAAGCTGGAAAAAGTTAAGAGGTATGCCACTAGACTGGTCCCAGAACTAAGAGGCATGAGTTACGAGGAAAAGACTGCGGGAAATGCACCTTACGACACTGGAAGACAGAAGAGTGAGGGGAGACATGATCACTACCTACAAAATCCTCAGGGGAATTGAGAGGGTAGACAAGGATAAACTATTCAACACTGGCGGTATGCGAACAAGGGGACACAGGTGGAAACTGAGTACCCAAATGAGCCACAGGGACGTTAGAAAGAACTTTTTTAGTGTCAGAGTGGTTGACAAATGGAATGCATTAGGAAGTGATGTGGTGGAGGCTGACTCCATACACAGTTTCAAGTGTAGATATGATAGAGCCCAATAGGCTCAGGAACCTGTGCACCTGTTGATTGACGGTTGAGAGGCGGGACCAAAGAGCCAGAGCTCAACCCCCGCAAGCACAACTAGGTGAGTACACGCAAAATACCGTCCATGGCACAATCACGCTAGCCCTAACGATATGTTGAGTGGTTGTAATAGTTTAATAGTAGTGGAAGCACCCGGTGCAGTGGTTGTAATCATGGTAGTAGTAGAAGCAGCAATATAAGTGCCAGTAATTTGTAATAGAAACCATAATAGTATTAGAAGTAGTAGTAGTATTGGTAATAGAAGTAGTAGTAATAGCTACAAGAAAAAATGTAGAAGTAATTGTAATAATAGCATTAGTATTACTATAAATAATAACATTAGAAGCAATAAAAAAATCTATTGTAACTATACTGAATAGTAAATAATAAAATAGTATCACTGGTAGAAACGACGAGCGTGCGCTGAGAACAACAGAAAACGCTTAGAACAGAAGAAAACGCTTGGAGCAGCTTTACACGCTTAGAACAGAAGAAAACGCTTGGAGCAGCATAACACGCATAGAACAGAAGAAAACGCTTGGAGCAGCATAACACGGTTAGAACAGAAGAAAACGCTTGGAACAGCATAACACGCTTAGAACAGAAGAAAACGCTTGGAGCAGCATAACACGCTTAGAACAGAAGAAAACGCTTGGAGCAGCTTTACACGCTTAGAACAGCAAAAAGCTATGAGAACAGTATAAAACGCTTAGAACAACACAACACGCTTAGAACAGCCGAAACCTGGCCCAAAACCGCTAAAAGAATCCAGCTGGGAGACGCAGGGGTTGCGGCGGTGTGATGGCCAACTCACCAGCTTCATGTCTAACGTTGGTGTTGAGGACGCTGACTGCCTGCCGGATGCCCCCAGTATTTATACCCAACGTTGCCCGCTCCTGCACCAGCGATGGGGGCGGAGTTCTGCTACCTTGGGGGAGGAGCATATATCTGCTCCCTCTCCCCCCCTACAAGAAAAAAAAAGAAAAGGTGGTCTTGACCTCTCTTTCATCTTCTCGTGTGTTTGAATACCTTCACACATAGCAACACAATTATAGATGGAATTACAAGTTATTTCAGGTGGTAGTGGGTGTTGTTAGACTTAAGATGCAGATAGTGTTAATGATATTGAGTGTTGAAAATAATTGGTAAAACCTATAGTCTTGCCTGTGTTTTAGATACTAAGACTCAAACATGTGTAGAGATAATAAAAGACCTTCAGGAAAAATATTTCCTGAAACATTTTGTCACCGTCCATAGGATGGACACGAGGGTCCACAATTCTAGTGATAAGATACTAATTCATATAAGCCATTTCCATTTATTACTATCGGGTACGAATATTAAGCATATTATGATTTTCGACGTCCTCTTCTAATACATGAGATCCACATACATCGCTGTTAAATTATATGGTTCCCATTATCTAGGGACAGAAAGTTGACCATACCACACTAGAAGGTGAAGGGACGACGACGTTTCGGTCCGTCCTGGACCATTCTCAAGTCGATTGTGAGAATGACTTCACAATCGACTTGAGAATGGTCCTGGACGGACCGAAACGTCGTCGTCCCTTCACCTTCTAGTGTGTGGTCTGGTCAACATACTTTAGCCACGTTATTGTGACTCATCGCCTGCATAGGGACAGGAAGCCGCCTAGTCTCTCTGAGGACCCAATAGCCAACTAATCTATTTCCAAGATGTGACCAACAATAGTCATTTGACGCCTCGTATATGCTGTTATCATATCCCCCTGTCTGTTCTTTTCTCCAATGTGGTAAGGTCCAGTTCTCTCAGTCTTTATACATAGCTTAAGCTCTTCAGCTCAGAAACGAGTCTTGTTGCATATCTCTGGACCTTTTCTAATTTCTCTTTGTCCTTTTTTCAGGTACGGGTTCCATGCTGGGGATGCATATTCAAGAGTAAGTCTCACCTTCGTTATATATAGGGCCCAGAAAACCCCTTTCTCCAGAATTCTGAAGAATTCAGGGGTGTTGGCCAGTATGTTATATGCAGCTGTTGTTATTCTGCTAATGTGGGCTTTTGGCATCAGATTTGGGATTATATTTATTCCAGGTATTTCTCTTTTTCTGATTGAAGAATCTGTCTTCCCTTCATCCTATACTGCTGCACATCACACTCCTGCCAATCCTCATTACTTTGCATTTGGCTATATTAAGTTCTAGCAGCCATTTTTCAGGTCACTTCTGGAATATGTCCAAATCCGTTTGCAATCTCACACACTCTATCTCTGTCCTGACTCTTCTCATCAGTTTTGCATCATCTTCAAACATTGATATGAAGGAGCCAATTTCCTCTGTTAGGTGGTTGACATATATCAGAAATATTACGGTCCCTAGAACCGACCCTTGTGGTCCTCTTCTCGCAGCCTTTCCCCTCTCTGATGTCTCTGCCCTCACTGTAACCCTTTGCTTCCTTCCTGAGAAATACTCTGTGACCCACCTTAGGACTCTTCCCGATACAGGCAGCCCATCAATCTCTCTCTTGTTTGATTTATGTCATATTGTTGTAGAACTCCAACAAGTTTGTCAACCAAGATTTTCCTTTACTATAACCATGCTGGAGCCTTGAGATATAATTAATTTGTTCTAAATGTTCTACTAGCCTGCTTAGAATCAGTCTCTCTAGCAACTTACACAGGATATTTATTAATGATACGTGTCTGTAATTTAACGGTTTCTGCCTTCCCTCTTTCTTGTGGATTGGCGCCATGTTAGCCATTGTGCAGAAATCAGAAAGTTGTCCCATCTCTAGAGACGCATTAAATATTATGGCAAGTGGGCTGCACAGTGCTTCAGCTGCCTCTTTTAGTACCCATGGCGATATTTTATCTGGTCCCACGACTTTCGTCACGTCCAGTTCGTGCAGTTGTTTCTTTACTGTTGGTGTCACTGTTATTTCAGTGAGGCTTCCCTGTGGAGTTGCCCGTTTTATTCCATTTTCTAACTACTTTGACAATGAAAAAGTTCTTTCTAATCTCCCTGTGGCTCATTTGGGTACTCAGCTTCCACCTGTGTCTTCTTGTGGGTGTACCACCCGTGTTAAATAATCCATCCTTGTCTACCCTGATAAGTCATCTGAGAATTTTGTATGTGGTGATCATGTCTCCCTGAGCTCTTCTGTCTTCCAGCGACGTGAGGTGCATTTCATGCAGCTTTTTCTCATAACTCATGTCTCTTAGTTCTGGGACTAGCCTAGTGGTATACCTCTGAATTTTTTCCAGTTTCGTCTTGTGCTTGACAAGGCACGGGTTCCATGCTGGGGCCGCATACTCAAGGATTGGCCTTACATACGTCGCATGCAAGGTTTGGAAAGATTCCTTACACAGGTTTCTGAAGGCAGTTCTGATGTTAGCTAGCCTCGCATAGGCCGCCGATGTTATTCTTTTTATGTGGGCTTCAGGGGACAGGTTTGGCGTGAAATCAACTCCTAAATCTTTCTCTCTACCCGTTTAGTGAAGGCCTTTATCTCCCATTCGGTATCTAGCGTCTGGCCATCTATTTCCTCCACCTAGTTTCATTTCCCTATATTTACTTGGGTTTAACTTTAGTAGCCATATGTTGGATCATTCCTTCAGCTTGTCTAGGTCATCTTGTAGCCTCATATTGTCTTCCTCTGTTTTAATCCTCCTCATAATTGTTGCCTCATCAGCAAACATTGAAAGGAACGATTCTATTCCTTCTGGGAGATCATTTACATATATCAGGAACAGCATAGATCCACGGACTGATCCCTGTGGGACTTCCACTTGTGACGTCTCATCACTACTGTGTACTAATATGTACTAATACACATGAGTGTGTATTAGTACACACATGTGTGCTAATAATGTGTGTGTACTAATGTATGAGTGCGTACTAATTGTTATTTTTTTTAAATTTTGCCCCGAGGGGGGAGTTTATTGGGCAGCGCCACTCATCCTGTGAGTGGACATACCGCTATCGTAGCATGTACAACACTCCCCAAAAGGAAGAAAACCCGCTGGGTTGTTCATCCTGTCACTAATACCAAGACACAGCTGGGACTTGCTTAGCCGTCTCAAGTGAACAGCTTATCAAACAAAAAGGTTAACTTTCGTCAACCCTTAAAATCTTACGTTATCTTGTGGGTGCAAAATGGGAAAATCTTTTAAGAACAGTATTTATATTTGACAAATAGTGTTTTTCTTTCAAACATTGTGGGGTTTATTATTCTATACTTATTTCTAATGACTCCTAGATGTTCACACTCTCTCAGGTTGTGGTCAAGGCGGTGTCCGTCACTCTCACCACAGATTCTGCAACACCTCTGCTCAACTGTTGTTTCCATTCCGAATCTCCATGGATATTTGTATCCAAGACGAATTCTTGCTATTACCAATTCTCTTTCGCGGCCACCTCCTCTTCGTCCATAATAATTGGGATTGCTAGTTGCAACCACATTTTACCAGCGTACAGATTCACTGATTTGTTCTACTGTCTTCCTTGCCTCAGTTACCTTGTCACGGTGATATTGCCTGATGATACCTCTAATTTGTAGCGGAGTCTTGGGTATGAAGTATTCAATGTGGTCTCCATCAGCAGCCAAATCATCTGCTTATTCATTTCCACATATTCCAACATGAGAGGGGATACACAGGACTTGACCATTCTTCCTTGATTTCACCTGCGTACTAATGTGAATGTGTGTGTGTGTGTGTGTGTGTGTGTGTGTGTGTGTGTGTGTGTGTGTGTGTGTGTGTGTGTGTGTGTGTGTGTGTGTGTGTGTGTGTGTGTGTGTGTGTGTGTGTGTGTGTGTGTGTGCGTGCGTGTGTGCGTGCGTGCATGCGTGCGTGCGTGTGTGTGTGTGTGTGTATTCACCTAGCTGTGTTTTGCGGGGGTTGAGCTTTGCTCTTTTGGCCCGCCTCTCAACTGTCAATCAACTGTTTACTAAGTACACTAACTACTTTTTTTCACACACACACACACACACACACACACACACACACACACACACACACACACACACACACACACACACACACACACACACACACACACACACACACCAGGAAGCAGCCCGTGACAGCTGACTAACTCCCAGGTACCTATTTACTGCTAGGTAACAGGGGCATTCAGGGTGAAAGAAACTTTGCCCATTTGTTTCTGCCTCGTGCGGGAATCGAACCCGCGCCACAGAATAACGAGTCCTGCGCGCTATCCACCAGGCTACGAGGCCCCATGTTTGTGTGTGTGTGTAATTACCTAAGTGTAATTACCTAAGTGTAGTTACAGGATGAGAGCTACGCTCGTGGTGTCCCGTCTTCCCAGCACAGCACACACCAGCACACACACACACACCCAGTGTGTGTGTGTGTGTGTGTGTGTGTGTGTGTGTGTGTGTGTGTGTGTGTGTGTGTGTTGTGTGTGTGTGTGTGTGTGTGTGTGTGTGTGTGTGTGTGTGTGTGTGTGTGTGTGTGTGTTTGTGTGTGTGTGTTTGTGTGTGTATGTGACGCCACCTCCATCTAGGTTCCTGCTATGCTAAGAAGTCAAGACCCATCCCGTTACCATACCATGTGGTCGACCTTCGGGAGAGGCCCCATCCCAGCCCGTCTTCCCATCCCTGTCTCCTACCCGTCCTTCCATCCCTGTCTCTTGCCCGTCCTACCATCCCTTTCTCCTGCCCGTCCTACCATCCCTGTCTGGTGCTCATCCCCAGGATGACCAGTGACCAGGTCACTCCTCGTCATCATCAGCAGCCACACCACTACAGCCATGACCTCTGACCTCGAGGATGGGTATGCAGGATGAAGGACCACACGCGGGCTCTTCTCTAGCAATTGTATATGATAAAAAGTGGTTCCTTACCGCCATCTCTTCGAAGCTCCGCCCACGTTTGGGCACGCAGGCCTGGGGCAGTGTTAGGTATGTATAGAGAGTATCCTGACACCAAGGCTCTGACCCTGGGTCAGCTTCCCGCTGTCAGAGACACTGTCTCTCGACGTCATGAATCTTGGGAGCTGATGGGGGTTGTTGGTAGTGTCATCTGCACGACAATTATCGTTAGTCATCGCTCCTCTCCACGAAAGTATATAACGACCTGTTGATATCAATGTTGATATCACCATCATTCATTATATTGGGCTAGGAAACAATGTTATGATGTTTGTCAGCAGCGCGTCATTATATTTGTACCACCAACGTCATTACCAATACTACCACCACCTCTATCAACACCATCGCTACCACCACAACCAGCACTCCCACCAGTCATTGCAAGAGGACAGGTTGAGAAGAAAAATAACAATGAAACAACTAAGTGTGAGGACAGGTCGGCTGTAATGTAAAGCAACCAGCAGGGACCCCCACCAGCGACCTCCCTCCCGCACCTTCAGGTAGTTCTTGCCTGCCTGGCCGCCATGGCCGTCGCCGCCCCCCAGCCCCAGGACTCCCCACCTGTGGCCATCCTCCGCGACGACCGTCAGGACTCCGGCGACGGCAACTTCAACTACGCCTTCGAGGCCGAGAACGGCATCTCCGTGGAAGCCTCCGGCAGCCCTGGCTCAGAGGGTCAGAGCAACATCCAGGGCGTGTACAGGTGAGGTCTTCCTGCTGTAGGCCTATGTTCTCTTACTAGTCCTACTTTCTTGGGTTGTTGGAGTGTCTGCTATTTATTTATATTTTACTGCGTAAGGCGTTTAAAAAAATTGTTTACATGTACTGGTATAGTGCGGTATTTCCTGCAATTGTTCTTTTTTTCAATCTTTTGATTCAACTGGTTGCCACTTCAGGTTCCCCCTCGACGACGGCACCGTCGCTGAGGTCCGTTACGTCGCCGACGAGAACGGCTTCAGGCCCGAGTCTCCGCTGCTGCCCACGCCCCACCCTCTTCCCGCCCACGCCCTCGCACAGGTCCGCTTCGCCGAGGACCAGCGCGCCCGGGGCATCACCTTCAAGTGAACGACGACCACATCTTCAAAATGATTATATGAAGTTTGTGGTGAACACGACCCACAATATATTACAATAATAAACAATGTAAAAATTATCATTTTAAAATGCGTTTTACATGAATGCTTACCACCAACGATCATCTATAGACCTAAGACGAACGCCGTCTGCAGAAAGCCTATTTCCACATGCCTGGCCGTTCCTTTTTATAGCTACTCATACATCTATCAAGCTTAAAATGCGCGTGCATCTGGGAACACTTAGCGTATAGGTTCGAATCCTCATCACGGCTCCTGTGGATTTGCTCATTGATATATCAGGATAATGTGATTTCTCTGTGTATCTATCTAGCTTGCGTTTTAAACAATCCAGCAACGCCACATCCTCCAGGCCACCATGCATCGTGTTCAATAAGTCAACAACTCTGTGAATCAGTATTAAGAAAATCTCTTCATGATTCTGAACAAATCTAACGTGTCTGTTATTTGCTGTATATTTATCGCCACAAAGAATAACTTAGGCCAAGGTGTGAGCATCACGCATCACCTCAACAACATGTACGGAATTACAGGATAAAAGTAGTAGGATCTAAGTTCTGTACCAGTATGATATTGTACTCGCTTCAGCAGTTCATATACTAAATTGTGCCAGTATGAACATTATGACGCCACACTGACGTCACACACCAGGTCCACACTCATATAAAACACGAAAATTTATCTGTTATTTTCATTAGGTTCGGTCAAGTTAGGATACATTAAATTAAGTAAAGTTTAGTCACTTACCGTCAGATTAGGTATGGTTAGATTAGGTTGGGTGAGTTTAGGTTCAATCAGGTTAGGTTAGATTAGGTAAGATTGGTGTGTAGACTATCGATTACGTAGAGGGGTACATATTTTTCCGAGGTCTTAGACCGCACCTTCCTCTCTGTTGACCGTTCTGGGTATTAATGTCCCAAAAGCCTGGACCTCCTGTTGGTGGTCTGGCCAACCCGGCTGTTAGATGCAGTTGCTCGCAGCCGGATGTATGATCAGGCTGCGATACATACATCCGACTGCGAGTCATTCATACTTGATAAACACCTTCATTTGCAGGTGTTTATCAAGTTCTCTTGAACACCGTGAGAGGTCGCTCCGCTATGCCCTCTTATATTTAGAAGGAGAGTGTTGAAAAGTCCTGGGCCCATGATGTTGATAGAATTCTCTCTCGGCGTACCTATTGTACCTTTATTTTTCAGGGGGGATATTTAGCACTTCCTGCAACATCTTCTAGTCTCATGAAGAGTCATTTTCGTGTGCCGATTTAAAACCAGTCTCTAATACTTTTCGAGTGCAGATTTTCATGTCTATATCTCTCCTGCGCTCTATGGAATTCAGATTTAAACATTTTAAGCACTCTCAATAATTTAAATGTTTTATTGAGTGGATTTAGGCAGTACGTACGTATCTTTGTACGTTCTTCAGATCAGCAAACACAAGTTTCTAAAGGCAATGTTTCTAAAGAAAGTCAGTTTCTAAAGGCAATGTATGTATGTATGAATTATGAAGGATATTACGAGCATGTAAGTAATGGGAAACAATAAAAGATAAATCAAAACTTGGAGTATGAGGGAAGAGTGGAGGGGGGGGGGTGATTGTTTTTTCCAGACTGTGAGCTGGGCGAGCCTTAGGCGTATAGCTGGGCCAGCTACGGACCTCAGCCCATACCCTGTTGAACCCTTCCCTCTCATACTGTTCACGCCTTGTGTTATCTCAGGAATACATCGTCTTATTTCCGTTTTCTTTCCTTGTTCATCTTACATAATAGTAGGTCGTGCAAGACAGAAAATGGGAAATACAGGATGGAGAGAAACTACTGCAAGTATATATAAAGGGGAGGCTAAAGTATATAGACACTGATGACTAGCAGGTAACCTCACACCTAATAGCCCTGAACCGCATGCTGTCCCTAGCAGGTAAAGTTTATTTTGCCTAATAGCCAGAATAGTTGCTTATATTGTCTTATATATCTGCCAAGAATAGCAAGCCCAAAGAAGTTAACAGAATATACATTCATAATTAATAACCATTTTGTTTAAGCTTAGCCTTACCTACGTCAGGAAGAGTTTTGAAATAAGAAGCAGAATGGGGGTAAGTCAGGGTGTAAAAAGTAGCGGTATCTCAGGTTAAATAAAATTTATTTGTATAATTATATTTTTAAAGAAATTCTAATTTATTAAAAAAAAAAATCCCATATGTTGTGTTTGGCTCCGCCTCAGAAATATATACCCGAGACTTTGTTTTCCTTTGCGTCTATCTCTGTCCTACCAGCCGGAGAAAGTGAAGGGCAAGTCACGTCTCCAAACACTTGAAGTGATCCACTGTCGTCGCATCTTCTACTTGACCAGGTTCGGCCCGTCTTGTGACCTAACTTGATCTTTGCTTTCGTTTCCTGTGTGTGTACTCTCGTCCGATTGGTCTTGTGATTAGAAAAACGTATTTTCCAGTCGACTAGTGAAAGGTGTCAGACTCACGAGCTGAATCTATTAGAACAGAGGCATTTCTATATGCAAGAGTTTATCACGTTTTGAACTAGTCCTCCGTTTAACTAAATGGAATTCAAGACAAATGATGCCTGTGTACTGCTTGGGAAATGTTGACTTGTAAGATTAAACCAGATGCCCATAACGGATTAATACGTAAGTGGACCAGGTGGAACACTTGACAGAGAGGATGCTGCTCATATTAACTGTCACACAGGACAGTGAAGATGCTGTTCATATTTATTGTCACACAGAAGCGTGAGGATGCTCTTCATATTCACTGCTAAACAGTTGAGTGTGGATGTTTCTCATATTCATTTCCATTCAGGGCAGTGACGATGCTGTTCATATTCACTGCCACACTGGGCAGTAAGGATGTTTTTCATCTGCACTGCCACTCAGAACAGTGAGAACACTGTTCATATTCACTGCCACGCAGGGCAGTAGGGAATTCATATCATTTTCTTTGCCAAACAGGACAGTGAGAATTGTACTCATATTCACAGCGACACAAGGACAACGAGTGTGCTTCTCAAATCCACAGCTATAAATGGTATTGAGGCTAATGTTCATATTTGTTGCTACACTTACAATAACGGCATTGTTCATATTTTCTTCAATACAGGAGAGTGACGATACTGATCATATTCACTGCTATTCAGGACGGTGAAGTTGCACCTCATATACACGTCTTCACAAAACAGTGAGGATACTTCTCATTTTCATTGCCACACATGGCATTGAGGACCCTGCTCATATTTAATAGTGCATAAGACAATGAGGATTCTCTACAGGATTCTGGTCATATCTACTGCCACAAAGGACAGTGAGGATGCTGCTCACATTCACTGCCACACAAGACAGTGAAGATGCTGTTCATATTCACTGTCACACAGGACAGTGAAGATGCTGTTCATATTCACTGTCACACAGGACAGTGAAGATGCTGTTCATATTCACTGCCACACAGGACAGTGAAGATGCTGCTCATATTCACTGCCACACAGGACAGTGAAGATGCTGCTCATGTTCACTGCCACACAGGACAGTGCTTTTTATATTTATTGCCATAGAGGACAGTGATGATTCTGCTCATATTCACTGCCACGCAAGGATGGTGAGGATGCTCCTCACATTCACTGCTTTGTGATATGGGAACACATGACTCCTACAACACATCCCATATTTCGCAAGTCATCAATAGGGAAACTGGCAACCTTACTGGCGGTACTCAAAATGACTGGGGGAAATATATATACCTGTATATATATATATATATATATATATATATATATATATATATATATATATATATATATATATATATATATATATATATATATATATATATATATATATATATATATATATATATATATTGGGTAGAATATAGTTGTGCAATAATTGGCTGTTGATTGCTGGTGTTGACTTCTTGATGTGTAGTGCCTCGCAAACGTCAAGCCGCCTGCTATCGCTGTATCTATCGATGATTTCTGTATTGTTTACTAGGATTTCTAGTAAACTAGAAATCCTAGTAAACAACACAGAAATCATCGATAGATACAGCGATAGCAGGCGGCTTGACGTTTGCGAGGCACTACACATCAAGAAGTCAACACCAGCAATCAACAGCCAATTATTGCACAACTATATTCTACCCACCTCAAGACTCCGCTCCAATATAGAAGCATCAAGAAATATGGACCAATAGGCTTTCTACAAACACTTCTATTCAATATCCATTGTTTCTGTTCTGTCTTGTGTTGATACTTTTAATACCCTATTAATATCCTCTAATGCCACATCATCCTTCCCACCTCACTCAAATGTAATGCCACATCACCCTTCCCACCTCACTCAAAAGTAGATATAAAATATATATATATTCCACTACGGGCTCACCATAGCCCGTGCTGCTTAGAACTTTTTTTTCCGAGTAGCTGAATCTATAACAACTATAACATAATAGAATAGATGAGAGAAACACCAATATGTTATCTCTTAAATTTTTAGTGACTGTCAGAAACCCGACCATCCTTCTGTTTTGGTAGTGTTGATAATAATGATGAAAACCATAGAACTTATATAGACGTACTTCGCCATTAGGAAGTAGAAATCGGTATTATTGAATTTGGGCAAACCGAAAAACGATTTTCTACTTAGGTTTGCAGGGACAAACTAAATTAACGTAACCTCAATAAGGGAGCCGGTCGGCCGAGCGGACAGCACGCTGGGCTTGTGATCCTGTGGTCCTTGGTTCGATCCCAGGCGCCGGCGAGAAACAATGGGCAGAGTTTCTTTCACCCTATGCCCCTGTTACCTAGCAGTAAAATAGGTACCTGGGTGTTAATCAGCTGTCACGGGCTGCTTCCTGGGGGTAGAGGCCTGGTCGAGGACCGGGCAGCGGGGACACTAAAAAGCCCCGAAATCATCTCAAGATAACCTAACCTTTATAGGTCTAATACACGATATCTGAGGTGTAATATAG